TATCTAGCAAGTACATCGGGCATGGGGCTAGTGCTAGGAGGACACAGGCCAGTGGTCCTTACAGGGCTTACAGATGCTTTGTGGGCGGACGACGCAAAGATGCTCAGGTCCTCCCATGGTTACTGCTTTAGCCTTGGCGCAGGCGCCATCTCGTGGAGATCCACCCGCTCGTCGTCTGCTGCATAGTCTAGCTGTGAGGCTGAGATCTACGCTGGTGCCATGGCGACATAGGAGTTGCGCTAGCTGAATTTCTTGCTTACAGACCTAGGTGAGCGGCCTAGCTGTGCCTCGGTCCTGTAAGCTGACAACAGGGCCATGATCCTCCTATGTCAGGAGCCTCGACTGGAGGGCAGAAGCACATCAAGCTGCGGTACTTCCTCCTGCGTAAGCTACAGCAGCGACGCCAGGCACGCGCCATTCACTTGGCCTTTGGTGCCAACACAGCTGATATCTTTACTAAGGTGCTTGCGTGTAAAGATCATCAGTGACACTGTGTACAGCTTGGTCTAGTTTTAGTAGCTCCTCACCAGGGCTGATTTTATCAAACTATTTTAGTCTGATTGTCTGAAATTACAGACCAACTTTTTGGCCGATCCTGATTTTTCAGACTTGCCAATTTCTGAATGTTGAACCCTTCTGAGTTATATGTTTTTGAATCCTGAGAATCTTAGATGTAGTTTGCGGATACTGAGTTTTCAGAGCACAGCGCGTACGGACCCTGAAACAGACATACCGGTACTGCACCTACCTGCCCTCACCAAAAAAAAATCGTCCAAGTCCCCAACGGCCAGAGTCAAGTCCTTTCACACACACCTATAAAATCCGGCTAAGTCCTAGCAGCAAGAGATAGTTCCCCCCAGCACAATCAGCAGCCCATAAGAATTATTGAAGTCCTGTTCTAGAGACACCCCTCTCACACCCCCAACACGCACAAAAATCGGCTGTCTTCCATTTCTAGAGACATTCTTCCCACACCCCTTTCCCCTATTTTTTTGTTTCAAGACACTGATGCCTCAGCGCACTAACAGGGGTCGACACTAAAACAAACACTGGCAAGAGTTATGAAGTTTCCCCCCTGGTTGGCGCATGATCCTCTCCCCCCCAACCCCCAGCCTCACCAGGTCGCAACAAGTTTCGTTGTGCTATGTCCTCCTCCCCACAGCTAGGCACATTCCTCCCACACCTCCTGCGACCCTGAAATTTCGGCTAAGTCCCCACAACGAGAACCATCCCTCCCTCAGCTCCCGCAACCTGAATAAAATTGGCTAAGTCCCTTGCACCCACTAAAAAATCCTCCCACAAACCCCCGCAATCCTGCTTATTACCCGACTTTTGCGAAGTTCCTAAAAGGGGTAACGAGAAAATCATTCCTAGCCTGACTGGATCATCGGCTACAAATTTTTTTTTTTCACCCCGAGGGCTATGCTTTCAATATTTGGAAATAGGAAATCTTGGAATTCTCAGGGTGCACATAACGCGATCAGGGTTGCCTAAAAACAGTCGTAGGCATACCCAACAGTGACGATTTCATTGCTGGGAGAACGGGGAGCAGCAGGCAGGGTCTTTGCTATATCTGGCTGGCGTAATTTCTTTTCTGATTTCTTAGACGATGTGAAACTAACTCTAAAAAATCACTCTCCGCAACTCAATTGAGGGCGTGCTCCTACGTGACACTTTGTCAAGCAACTTCGTGTTTTTGGAGATTTTGCCAGTCAATAACAGTTTTGATAAGAAGTGACGTAACCTTGTGTCGCGTAGGAACAAGCCCTGAGGGGGAGAATTCGAAAAGAAGGGGAGGGGGAATCGAATCCGAGGGGGAAAAGGGGAGGGAATCAAAACCGCGGGGAGGGGGGAAACGAAACGGAGGGGGAGGGGGGGGATCGAAACGGAGGGGAGGCGGGGAAGCGAAACGGAGGGGAGGGGGGAAGCGAAAGGGAGGGGGAGGGGGGGGGATTCGAAAATGGAGGGGGAGGGGGGAGGATCGAAATGGAGGGGAGGCGGGAAGCTGTGGAATTGGGCGGTGGGAGAAACTTTGTGCCCTTACAGCGCCCCCGGTTGATCCATCGTGGACGTTAATCACTTGCGACTATCAAATGGTTGAAAAATGTCGAAACGACCGCAATCGATCGTGACCGTCACATTTTGATAGACTTTCAGTTGACCAAACACGCAGTTGTCGAGAATTTTGCCTAATAGGAACGACTATTATTAGAATGTGAAATTTACTCTTAATCGAATGCAACAAAAAAAAAACTGAAATTCTCTCTCCTTGTTGCCAAATCAGCGTTTTTTTAGTACATGACCATGATGGAAAAGCGAACGTTTTCTAGGAAACACTGATGAATCAGCGTAAATTTTCTTGAGGAGGCTGACAAAAAGTTTTTTTTTTTTTTACCTGACACTGAGCAATGAGGGTACCCTAAAACCAATCGCAGGGCCTGGTGTGAACTCTGAAAATACATGATTTCGGCTTGGGCACAGGACTCTGAGTCGACATTCTGAACCCTGAGTATTTTAGACTCGTTGACTCTTGGACACTACGATTTCAGAGTAGCGAAATTTTGAAAAATGACCCTTCAGACTCGGGATTTTTTTTGGGGGGCAAAATCAGAGGGCATTTTTTTTAAACGCCAGCCCTGCTCCTCACTTGTTAGGACCTTGAATGTGTACGTCTCTTTTATATATTCTCCTGACTGGCCTTGTGGCTTCTGTTCCAGTGGCCAAACTAGTAGTGCCGCCCTAGTTTGCTCTTGTCTAGTTTGTATTCTTCTGATTGGTCTTCGGACCCTTGCCTCAGAGGTTGGACTAGTAGTGCCACCCTGAGCTGCGTGCCTCTTGCCAGGCACTGCCCCTTGTCTAACCTAGGGGGTGTGTCAACATACTTTTATATTGTTTTAGGCTAGATAGGTGCATGCTTATAGAGAGTACAACACCATAGTACAAAACCTGCCTGTATGCCTCATTCTAATCATTGCGTTAATTGTAAAAGCTTGCTTAGATCATCTTGTAAAGGCAGCATGCTTCATTTCATCTTGGAAACATACATGGTTCTCATCCAACAAAGAACTACACACACAAGAGGGTGGGTGGGCGAGGAGATTGAACTAGAGAAACCATAAATGAAGAACGTGGGTGAGGCCGAACGGTCTCACGTCCCTCTTTGGTAGGCAAAAGTGGGTGAGTAGCGCTTCGACGCTCCCTTTGTTGCGTTGGCCCTCGCTACACTTTCACAATACACATTTTTAGAAAGTGTTACACACTTTTAAAAAAATAACATATTGTGAAAGCTTGCTTAGGTCCTCTTGCGAAGGCAGCGTGCTTCATTTCATCTGGGTCTTCTGAGACATGTGCAGAAGGGGTTGGCTGTGGCGTTCAATAGATAGCTGGTTCTGATTGGGCGTGGGGGCGGTGGCTGTGTCTTGGAGTTGCGTGGAGGCTTGAAGAAGTTGGTTCTGCGCGATGCTAACGTAGAGCTCCTTGGCGTTATCGCTGCGCCAACGGCCAAGTCGCTTGAACAGCCGGTTGGATATCCCGAGGCTGGCTGCCACTGTAGCACCGCCATAGCAGAAGGAGTGGGTGCCGAGGTGGGCGCTATCAAGGCCGACCCTGGTAAATGCTTCAAGGCACCAGTTCCGGATGGTGGTGTATGAAGGCGCGTGGTCATGTGGATTTGCCGTGCTACTGTTCCCAAAAACTTGGATCAATGGCATGCGTGGGGTGGAGGTGTGACCCGCAATGAGAAGAAAGTGTCGTGTGCAGCGTACCGGGCAGTATGGGCCGAAAGTGGCGGCGACCGGAATCCACGAGCCCCTGCTTTCCTGGTCGGTCTTGGAGTGCGGGATGAGCAGCCACATCGCCTCAGGCTCAAACTGTATGTCATGCCATTGGTGGCTGACAAGGTCGGAGTAACGTAGGAAGGCGGCGGACATAAGGATGGGGATGAGTCCTTTCTGGTATTCGGCCGACCGGGTGGACTCCAGAAAGGGGTGGGTTCTGGTGTGCACTTGGTGGAGCGACAAAGGTTCCTCATTCCAGGTGGGGCGCGGGCCATGGCGTTTGGCAAATTCGCGCAATTGTAGTGTAAATGGTCCAGTCTTGGGAGAGGGCTCGCTAGTCATGCGATGCGCAAAGGTGATGGCGGAGCATGTAAGCAATATGGCGGATGTGGTGGCTTGGTGATTTAGTGCATGAATGAGGTAGAGTGCCAAGGTCATATTCGTTGCAGACAGGTAGCTCAACTTCACCTTCATGCAGAAGGAGCGAAATTTGAGCCAGTAGGGCTCATATGTTCGGATGGTGGAAGGGGCACGGACATGGGTGATTACGTGTAGTAGTTGCGTTTGCAGCTTCGTTATAATGCCTGAAAAGGAACAGCATAGAGTACAGTTATTGTTATTTTTTATACATGACATGCAGTGCAATAATCTGACTAGGAGGAAAGCCTTGTCCTGCAAAAGCAAGTGCGTGTGTGCCGGGGCGTAGGCATTGGCTGCCGTGGGTAAGGGGAATGTGTGCCGTTACTTATGGCACCCAGGCGTCAGGTGTCTGTTGGAGGAGTGGCCACCATGATGCTCCCGGCCACTCGGGAATAACCAAGGTCAGCTGAGCATGTGTGCGTTTAGCATGTCGTAATGTGGCTATAATGAGGTTGGGAGGAGGAAACGCGAAGCGGCGCTTGTGCTGCCAGCTAAACGAAAAGCGTCAAACACTGGGTCGTAGGGTGTGGAATCTTGGAGCAAAACCTCTTCAGCTGAGTGTTGTGCACACTTGCAAAGAGATCGATAGAGTGGGGACCCAGGCAGCGATCCAAGAGCCGGAACCATGGGGCTTGGAGGGAGTAGTCATCATGGTCTTGGATTTTTGAAAGTTCGCCGGTGTGCGCATTCAGCTCTCGCGTGATCCATTCGACAGCTGGCCTTGTTTGATGTTCCGGGCAGAGGCGAATGATTGCTTGACATAGTAGTGTGAGTGTGGGGTGGCGCGATCCACCTTTGCGCAAGATGAATACCACCCCTTGATTGTCTACCCGAACGAGCACGTGGCGCTTGGGTATGCGGGCGGCAAAAGTTTGGAGAGCCCATAAGACTCCTTCGAGTTCCCGTCGAGTGCTGGAGGTGGACAAAATTTCCTCGGGCATGCAAGCACTAGCTTCAATGGGCGTCTCGGGAAGTTGTCTCTCTCTCTCTCTCTCTCTCTCTCTCTCTCTCTCTCTCTCTCTCTCTCTCTCTCCTCTCCTCTCTCTCTCTCCTCTCTCTCTCTCCTCTCTCTCTCTCTCTCTCCTCTCTCTCTCTCTCTCCTCTCTCTCTCTCTCTCTCCTCTCTCTCTCTCTCTCTCTCTCTCTCTCTCTCTTCTCTCTCTCTCTCTCTCTCTCTCTCTCTCTCTCTCTCTCTCTCTCTCTCTCTCTCCTCTCCTCTCTCTCTCTCTCTTCTCTCTCTCTCTCTCTCTCTCTCTCTCTCTCTCTCTCTCAAGCGGTCCGTATATTTCTTGTCCCTGGGTACAACAAGGCAGTTTCTGGTCATGCACAGAAGTCACAGTACTAAGACAAGGTGGCGGCCTAGGCCTACTCTACAAGCGGCTCCAGCACTGCCAGGCACTCCGCCGGGGAGAGTGCCCCTTCTGGTGAGCCTATGGGTGGGTGCTCGGCTTGGGCAGCTTCGTGCACCTTCTTGAGGTAGGACGATGCCTGGCCCCGCTGCAGGGTACAAGACCAGCGTTGGCGGAATTGGTGCAGGAGTTTAGTGGCCTGGTAGGAGGCGGGTTCTGCGTTAAAGAGCTTTCTGGCTGCCGCCTCAGCTAGGAGCTTTAGGAAGGCCGGTACTTCCCAGCATGGGCAGCCGTATGTCTCGACTGCCAGGGGGAAGAGCCCCACGTAGTCTGCTCGGTTCTTGTAGTGGGCGATCTTTCTGTCGGCCTGTTCCCTAGCTGCGTATCCACGCCCTTTGCGGGCCCCGGGATCTCGGTTGCTGATGGGATCTGTGATGGTGACGTTGCAGATCCAGACCGCCCCCGTCCCACAGTCCCGGATAGCAAGGTCCGCTTTGTGGCCGTCCACGGGGCAGAAAATGGTGGTCTCTCGGTATACGATGTATCCCGCGTCCTGCCCCATGCGGATGCATTCATCGCGCAGTGCGTCATGGGTGTCGATCTGCCCATGACCGGTACCGCAGCGGAGGAGGTGAATAGGAAGCCACGGGTCCGAGATCTCGGTATGGTCAGAGCAGTCACACCGCCGGGGTGTGGAGAAGGGGAGGCCGAGGCGGAAAGCAAGGGCGATGGAGAAGTGCGCGGGTGCCAGGCGTAGTGAAGGGAGCAGTGGGATGGCGTGCAGCCAGTCCCCTGCGCCATATCCTGAGAGGGACAGCATGCGCTGGGTGTGACCCATGTTTGGGTTGGGGTCCATATCCCGGGTTGCCGCCACCTGGTCAGCATACCGCCCCCCATGAACCTCCAGCGCTAGGCGGTGTTGCAGCGGCTTGTCTGTCGGTTTTTGCTGCTCGTTGTGTAGGAGTAGGCGCGCAGCAGGTGGGAGAGCCACCTCCGCCTCGGCCAGCCAGGTGTGGTATTGTGCGTTGCCAGTGAATGGTGGGGCGAGCTGGCTGGCGGCGAGTGCCAGGGGGGCGTTCGGGGCTGGCTGGATGGCTGCCAGGAGGGCGTGCGTCTGGGTGACGCTGGTGAGGAAGGAGTAGCCTCCTTCGGCCAGCGGGTCGGTGATGCCGAGCCCCCCCAGGGAGGGGGGCAGGGATGCCTGGGCCCAGGTGCGGGCGAGCTCCCTCTCTCCGTGTGGTAGGCGGAGGCCGCAGGACTTGAGCAGTGTATGGAACATCTCCTGCCCCCAGGTGGACCATTCCTCCGCTGGGAGGAGCTGGAGGGGCGTCGTCTGGAGGAGGTACGCAACGCGCCGGCTGATGCAGCGGGAGAGCAGGAGGGCGGATGTCTGGGGGTCCATTGTGGTCATCAGCGCCACCGGGGCGGCCAGGGTGGCGATGTGGGACCGGAGGAATGACGCCGCTCCAGCGGCCGGTCCCACGTGGCTACCAAGCACGCGTAGCCCATCGTCGCTGAAGGGTACCCCCGGTGGGAGTTCGCCTCGGGCTGTCGGTCGGTCCCTCGCCCATACCGCACACTTGGCGGGGTTGTGGGTAAGTCCCAGGCTCAGCAGACCCTCTGTGAAGTGTGTGAAGGCCGTCATGCATGCCTCTGGCTCCCCTGCAAAAGTGATGTCGTCTGCGTACGCTAGGCTCAGCACCTGCGAGAAGGCGTTGGCTGTCGCCTGGAGGGCGGGGTGAATTCCTGCTGCAAAAAGTAGAGGACCAAGCGGGTCTCCCTGGCAGACCCCGCGCTCGCTGATGAGCGGCGGGCTGGCATACGCGGCGTCGAGGTAGAGCTTGGAAGGCCGGCCGTATGAGAGTTTGGCGAGGGGCAGTAAGGGGCGGAGTGCCGACGCCTGCAGTCCGTCGACTATGGCCTGGCGTTCGATACTGTTGAACGCGTTGGTCATGTCGACCTGGATGATCAGCGAGTTCGGGCAGGCCG